AGTGAATGGATAAGCTCACCCATAAAACAAAAACAGAGCAGAATGGATTAGAAACCAGAATCCAACAATATGTTATTTACAAGAGACAGACTTGAAACAGAAAGACATATAGAATTAAAATAAAGGGCTGGAGCCTAATCCATTATGCTTCAGCTAAAATAAAAAAAGGCAAAAGTAGCAATCATGGTCTCGGACAAAGCAAAAGCAAAAATAGACCCAATTAAAGGAGATAATCAGGGAAACTACACTTTGCTACCATAGATAATGAAGGAGTGTCAAAAAAATTTTATACCAAGTTTCCTTGATAAAGGCCTTGTTTCTCAAATATATAGGGAACTAAGTTAATTTTTTTTAAAATTAGAGCCATTCCCCAATCAATAAGTGGTCGAAGGATACAAACAGGCGGTTTTCAGAAGAAGAAATCAAAGCTATCTATGGTCATATGAAAAAATGTTCTAAATTATTATTAATTAGAGAAAGGCAAATTAAAAGAACTCTGAGGTACCACCTTACACATATCAGAAATGACAAATGCTGGAGGGGATGAGGGGAAATAGGTACACTAATAAACTGTTGGCAGAGTTGTGAACTGTTCCAAACATTCTGGAGAACAATTTGGAACTATGCCTAAAAGGTATATAGTACTGTGCATAATACCCTTTGATCCAGCAATACCATTACTAGGTCTATACCCTAAAGAGATCAAAGTAAAAGGAAGTGGATCTATATGTACAAAAATATTTATACCAGCACTTTTGTGGTGGCAAAGAATTGGTAATCAAGGGGTTGTCGATTGGCGAATGGCTGATTTATTGTGATGGAGTACTATTATTTTTGTGTGCCTTTTATGTGAGAAAATTTTCCTCACTCTAACTTTCCTTTTTCCCTACTCTCAGTGCATCCTTCTTTCTCATCCCATTCTTTCCCTCCCCCTTTTTTGGAGAGCATCTCAACATAACCGAATCACATTCATGCCCTCTGTTTATGTAGACTCCCTCTAACTGCCCTAATAATGATAAAATTCTTAGCAGTTACACATGTCATCTTCACATATAAGAATATAAACAGTTTAACTTTATTAAGTCCCTTAGGGCTTTCATGTTTACCTTTTTATGTTTCTTTTGAGTCTTGTGTGTGACAATGACGAAGGAGATGGTTTCAGAAAAAAATGTGGCAAGACCGATATGAACTGATGCAAAGTGAAATGAGAAGAACTGGGAGATCACTGTGCACAGAAAGAGCAATGTGGTGATGATGATCAAATGTGAAAGACTTGGCTGCTGTGATCAATACAATGATCCAAGACAATTCCAAAGGAGTCATGATGAAAAAACTCTATCCACCTCCAGAGAACTGATGAACTCTGAGTGCAAATTGAAGTATAATTTTCTTGCTTTATTTTTATTTTTTTGTGATATGGCTAATATGGAAATACATTTTGTGAGATTTCATACGTACAATTGATATCATTTGTTTGCCTTCTCACTGGATGGGGAAAGGCTGGGGGAGGAGAGAGTTTGGAACTCAAAATTTAAAAAGAAAGCAATGATAAAAATCATAAATTTGTTTTTTAAAAAAATAATTTTTTTTAAAAGAGTGTAAATAGATCCTTAGACCAAAAGGTTGAGAGCCACTGGTAGATGAAGTGTCTGGGTCCACTAGTAAGTTAAAGAGTATCCAGAGGATGGCATCCAGGATGGGGAAGGGTCTTAAGTACATGTCATATGAGGATTATTTGAAGGAACTGGGGCTGTTCAGCTTGAAGTGATTCAGGAGGGACTTGAGAGCTTCAAATATTTGAAGGCCTAGCATATGAAGGAGAGATTAAATTTATTCTGTTTGGCCTCAGAGGGCAAAAACTAAAAGTACTGGGTGGGAATTGCTTTCGATAGAACTTCAGATTAGTTATCAAGAAAAATTAGAACTGTCTTGAAATGGAATGGGCAAGAGATGGTAGGTTTCCTTTTTTGTTTGGGGGTGTTTTTTGGGGGGGCAGTTGTGGTTAAGTGACTTGCCCAGGGTCACACAGCTAGTAAGTGTCTGAGGTCATATTTGAACTCAGGTCCTCCTGACTTCAGGGTTGGTGCTCTATCTGCTGTGTCACCTAGCTGCCCTGTAGGTTTCCCTTCTTTGTAGGCTTCAAGCAGAGAGTGGAGGACCACTTTCGGGCATGTTAAAGTGGGGAATCTTTCCATGCCAGCATTCGACTTGGCCTGGATTCCCTTCCAGTTCCCAAATTCTGTGATTCTGTGAAATCTCACCACAGATGGGACTGTGCTGGTTGCGTGACTATGGACAAGTCATGTAACTTCTCAGAGTCTCACAGTCAGATTTTTAAAGGCCAAATTGCAGGTGTGATCTGTTTTGATGTAAAGAGGCTTCCTCCACTGAAACAAGTGGAAAATTGTTATGTTGTCATAGTTAGGACCCATTGAAATCAATGGGACCTAACTATATGTTCCCTGCTACAGCTGTATGAGTACTGCCTTCAATTACAGTGGACTTGGATCAGTTAGTAATTGTAACTGTAGTTAAATTTAATTAATTAATTAAATTCATGGGGCCTATATACAGGTGGGTTTCTGATTGTGTGGCCCAATGTTAAAAAAAATAATAATTCAGATGCCACACTCAGACCTAATTTCAAAGTCTTCCTCAGATACTTACTAGACATGATCATGGGCAAATCATTTAACTTATCAGTCTCATTTTTCTTACCTGCAAAATGGAACTATTTAATAATACGTGAGGGTGGGGTACGTGAGGATCAGATTTACATAAAGCACTTTGCAAACCTTAAAAGCTCTATACAGGATGGCCCAAAAGTCTTCTTGCAAACTTAAGCTATATTAATCTAGTACTTGAGAAAGGTTTTTAAGCACTAAGACTTTGGGGACACCCGGGACAAATTTAAGTTATTGTTATTATTAATAACTAGCCTCATTTTCTAAGCAATTTTATTATGTCATTATTAGTTTCTGCTTCTAAAGATTTTTTTTCACCTTCATCAATTTCTGAAAGTTGCAGAGCTATGTGGATTGAGACATACTTTTCTCTATTCAGTTACGCCTTTATTTCTTCATTTCAAAATCCAGACTCCTTACTTTGACTTACATTAGAAGGTGAAGAAGTCTAAAGCTGGTGGAAAGAAAGAGAAACCAGCTGCTCTTCTGGGTAAAACGCCTGGCTACCATCCTGCTGCAGAGAAGTGTTTGGTAGAATCCCAGACTGATTTCCTAGACTGAAGAACCTTGTATCCCCTGCATTGAAAAGTGCCTTGCTAACACCATGTCCTTAATGTGCCACTCACTTGGTAATCAAGGACAGCAGCGGCACTGTCATCACTTACGATTTCTGCCTTTGCCTAAATGAATGTTGCCGCCAGTCGTGGAGACAGGAACATAGCCACCAGCCTTCAAATTAGAAGTGATGGAGAGGAAGCCTGTGAGCTAAAAGCCATAGACCCCTCCTCTTGTGTGAGTCTGGTGGTGTTCTTTGGAGACAGAAATTCATCTTGCTTTTAGACTTTGGAGTTCAGTTCTGCTCATCTTCAGTCTGTACAGCAGTTTTAATGGCCCAATCTGATTATTTTTATAGGGATCATATTATAAAGATGTTAGAACGTGGGGTTAAGCATTAACTAAACTAATCTTAAACATTAGATTCATTATTATAAAAACAATTTGAAAACTGGAATCCATCCCCACCCTACTCCTAGTGAAGGAAAACAGAAACAAAACTGGGGGGGCAGAGCTATTGGAGGGGGAGTCTGGCTTTAAAATTTTTTCTTTGTCCCCTTTGATCAAGGATCTCATTTCTCTTGTAAGAAGCCAGATCTGGGAATAGCAATCTGTTTTAGGCCAGATTGGGAAGCTTCTTTCTCCACCTATTTACATCCCTTCCCCGCAACACACACACGTTTTTTGGAAGTGGAACATAGCAGGGTTAGTCTGTCTCCTGCCAGTCTGCTGTTGAAGGAGGAGCAGTGTAAGGGCCCTTACTGTATTCAAGGGTAAGAAGGTGAGCAGCTGTGAAGTGACCTGACCCAGAAGGAATACCTGGAGCACCTTCTTTCTCCCAGACTCCCACTGCCAGAGATGGGACCAGCCACTTATATTTCTGAAGCATAGTTTAATTGCTGTACACAAATGTGTTGGGGATTTGCACCCTTCATGTGTTAGAAACCACCAGAGGAGGTTTTGAGTCTTTACTGTAACACATGACTTGACTGAATGCAAAATGAATACCTATGGCTATGGATAATAGAATTTTCTGGCACTAAAAATATGCGCAGTTACTTTTTTTTTTAAGTAATACTACATGGGTTTGAATTTAAGCTTCAGTTTTTCCTCAGATTTGACTCTTACACCACTTCAGTGAGGCTTTAATTGTGCTTTTACAGAATAGCAGCAAAAGCAACAAAAACAGAGCAATAATTGAAAAAAAATTAAATACTTTTATTTGAATGAAAAGAAATAACTTCCATGCCAAAAAAAAAATACCCTTTCTCAGTATATAGCTACATAGATAAATTACAATAATTTGTATAATTCTATTTTACCATATCCTTATATACTGCTTTCATGAGAGATCTCATTCTCATTTTATGGGTGAGGTGGTCCTGTATATACTTAGTTCAGAGGTTCTTAAACTCTTTTATGTCATGGACCCCTCTGACAGTCTGGGGGACCCCTTGTCAGTAGAATGTTTTAAATGCATAAGATAAAAATATATTACAAAGGAAACAACTTATTGAAATATAGTTATTAAAATTTTTTTTACATTAACAGACTGAAATCTATGTATAAATTCCCCTGGGGGTCCTTGGGCCCCAAAGTAAGAACCCCTAACTTCGACCAATACAGGCTAAGAAATTGTTCCTCCTAGGTGGTGAGCCCTGAGTGTTTGCCTGCCTTGCATACCTCCAGCATCTGACAGCTGTCAGATCTGACCCTGAAAGACTCTCTTACACCCCTCTCTTCTTCCTGCCCCACCCCCAGGTGTCAGGCACCACACTGAAAATGAAGGTGAACTTGGAGCAGCACTTGGCCCGACTCAGTGAGATCTTTGCCGCCAGGGGAGACTATATCCAGACGCTGAAGTTTGTGCAGCAGATGTCAGGCAACATCATCCTACAGCTCTCAGGCCTGCCTGTGTGGAGGGACGTCAGCATGGAGCTGACGGAGGTGGCCAACAAGACCACCTATGTGGAATATTACAGGTGAGAGAGAGGAGGTGGTAGACAGGGAACAGTAGGCAGAACACTGGTCTGCTCTCCATCTGTATCCTGAATTCCAGGCTGACATCCAGAAGAGTTAATAATGACTGAGGGCAGCTAGGTGACACAGGGGATAGAGCACAGGCCTTGGAGTCGGAGGACCTGAGTTCAAATCCGGCCTTAGACACTAAGTAGTTGTCACTTAACCTTGATTGAGGGAGAGAGAGAGAGAGAGAGAGAGAGAGAGAGAAAATAAACAGGTGATTGTCAGTAGTGACAACTTGGGTACTTTCTAGATGGGTGTAAACAAGCTTCCTGCCCTCACAGTATTTACAAAAGTCTAAGACACCTACAGGAAGAACATAGGAACAAAAAGAATGAAATTAATTTAACAAGCATTTACTCTATTTGCTTAAATTCACACCAATTACTGTGTTGGTTTGATGTGCTGTTAGGGGAAGAAGAGTAACTTAGACGTAGGGGCAGGTGTGTACTGGTGAATGTTTAACATTCGGACCTCCTCCTCCTCCACACCCCACCAGATACATTTTCACTTTAAAAGTATGTCAGATATTCTTTTAAAGTTTAATGTTGGTTTGATGTGCTGTTAGGGGAAGAAGAGTAACTTAGACGTAGGGGCAGGTGTGTACTGGTGAATGTTTAACATTCGGACCTCCTCCTCCTCCACACCCCCACCAGATACATTTTCACTTTAAAAGTATGTCAGATATTCTTTTAAAGTTTAATGTTGGTTGATGTGCTGTTAGGGGAAGAAGAGTAACTTAGACGTAGGGGCAGGTGTGTACTGGTGAATGTTTAACATTCGGACCTCCTCCTCCTCCACACCCCCACCAGATACATTTTCACTTTAAAAGTATGTCAGATATTCTTTTAAAGTTTAATGTTGGTTTGATGTGCTGTTAGGGGAAGAAGAGTAACTTAGACGTAGGGGCAGGTGTGTACTGGTGAATGTTTAACATTTGGACCTCCTCCTCCTCCACACCCCTACCAGAAACATTTTCACTTTAAAAGTGTGTCAGATATTCTTTTAAAGTTTAATCTGCATTATTACCATTTTCTCTATCACTTTCTTAAATCTAGACAGTCAAAAAAACAGTAAATCAAGCCTGCTCACACTGAAAATTTAACATTGCCACGCTTGAGCTGTCTCCAGCACATTGATGTCCCCACTCACAGCCACCACCCTACTTTAGGCCTCCTCACCCCTCACCTGAACTATTTCAGTAACCTCCTGATGGGTTTCATTGCCTCCAGCCATTCTCCTTACCAATTTATATGCCCAACCAGGGGTTTCAGGGAAGGCTGCATAGAAGATTTGAAATTTAAACTGGACCATGAATAATGAATAGAATTTCAGCAGGTAAGGGGGATATGGAGCATATGGAATAGCATTGTGACTGGAGTACAGGGATTATGGAACACTATGAGATAAGTCTGAAAAAGTAGGGCGAGAGCCAAATGGGGAGGGTCTTGAATGCCTGGCCCAAGAGTTTGGTCCCAGGCTCAAAAATCTTCAATGGCACCTTGTTGCCTAGTGAATAATCAGTGCTGTTTTAGAAAGGTTAATCTAGTAACAGTGGATAGGATGAAGATGTTGAATGAAATACACAAATAGGATTAAATATTTATATGTAGGTCTAGGAGAGCAGTGAGGACAGGGCTCCAATATAGCCTTGGGAGGGGTTGTTGGCAGGCAGAAAGTAGCTGGAGGAGGTGGCAGATTCACCATCTAGAGGTAACCTTCCCTGCGACTGCCAAATACCCAATCCCAGAGACTCCTTTAGGCACCATTCTGCCATAAGCCTGCTTTATAGAGCTCTGTGTTATAGCCTTCTTTCCTTTTCTTTCTTTTCCTCTTCCCCTCCCTCCAATCTTGATCTCATTCACCTTCTTACAGGCTGATTCAGAAAAGCCTTTGGTGCTTAAAACATCTCACAAGCTTTGTAAAAACCTTCCAGTGTCCAAACTCAACTCCCTGTAAGAGCCTTGGCTCCCAGGAAGATGTATACTCAATCCCTGGTGCTAAGACAAGTGTGGCTAATATTGCACTTTTATAGCTCAGCACACATCATGACCTGAGGATGTGGAGGAATGTAAGCTCCTTGAGAGCAAAGTGTGTTTTTTTTCTTTCACTTAGTTTTTGTATGTAGTGTCTAGCACTTACTAAATACTTGTGGAGTTGTATTGAATCGAATTGAACGAAATTATTTCTGTCCTTGGAAAGCTCCCAGTGTAAAGGGAAGACTGGACACACGTTAAGAGCACGAGGACATGACTAGTAAGGGCTGTGCACATACACTCTCCTCTCTCCATCCAGTGCTTGAAAGCTCTCCAGCCTAATGATCTGAAAGCATTTACCGATAATGTTTCAAGGTTAACCCCCAATTTCTGGATTGGCTACTCTCGCCACTCTCCTAACTCTGGCCCCTATATCTTTCCCATGAATACACCTAATGCATCACAAGCAGAAAGAAACCGCTGCACGAAGAGTGAGTTCAATCAATCAACAAGCATTTTAAAATAGATTTTTATAGATATTCCCCCTGTATCTGTAACTCTTCCCCTTCCTAGATAACCATCCCTTGTATCAGAGTTTACAAAGGTTGGGGAAGAAGAGGAAAGAAAAACAAAATTCAGCAAAAAAAAATCTTGCCCTACAGTCATCGTTCCACTCCTGTGGTCTCTCATCTCAAAAGTGAGAAGTATGTGTGTGTGTTCCTATTTCTTCTTTAGTTTTGGTTGATTGATTGATTGATTGGTATTAGCTGTTCTTTCCATTCACATTGTAGTCATTGTAATATATTGCTTTACTGGCTCTGCTTACTTCATTTTGTATTAGTTTATGTAAGTCTTTTTTATGCTTCTCAGTATTCATTAAATAAGCATTTATTAAGCATCTGCTATGTGTCAAGTACTATGATAAGTGCCATGGATACAAATAGAAAGATGAGCTGTCCCTGTCCTCATGGAGCTTGTATTCTATGGGGAAAACAACCTGTACATATGGAGCAGGTGAGCTGCTCCATGTGAAGCGTGTGTTTGTGTGTGTGTGGGGGGGGGGTGACTGCCCCTCTATTTGCCTGCTGTTGGATCATTTTTCTTATTCATTTTTTTACCCCATCTTCTAATGTAATCAAGGAGTATATTCTGATATTTACAAGTTAAATGATAAAATTGCAATATTTCCTTCATTAATTAGCTATGAGACACCACCAGTTTCTCTCTCTCTCTCTCTCTCTCTCTGTTTCTGTCTCTGTCTCTCTGTTTCTGTCCTGTCTCTCCAAGGTATTGGCTATATTATTTATTATCACTGTAACAAGCAAGATATAAAAAAGATTTCCAGTGTATCAGTTGTGAGAAACGTCACAGCTAAAGTCACCTTTAACTGTTGCTGCAATTACTAACTTCTGCTTAATTCTGGAAACACAAATCCATTCAGTCCTCTCAGGATAGCCTTTTCTCAAAAATTCTCTCCATGGGTTAAATGCAGTTCTCTCAGGAAATCAGTTCTCTCAATCCTTTTCCTCTGTCCTCTCTTCATCTATCACAGTTAATCTCTCCAGAACATTAGTCAAGCTCTCAATCTCCTCACAGACTCTTCATAAAATGACATCTAAACTGCTGACAGTTGAATGACAGTTAAGCAGTCATTCCAAGGTTCCATTGCTCCTCAAAGATGCAATAATAGTACATATAGTCTTTGGGACTATACTTTGGGAGAAGCTAGTGTTAAATTTCTCCCCGCAGTCAAAATTTTCAGTCCCCAAAAGTGATTTAGAGGTGCATCATATCCATATTAATATTTCTATGCAACACACATATCATAATTCAAAGCAGCACTTGTCACGCTGCTTCAAATAGCAGCACTTAGGACAGTACCTGGCACATTATAGGTGCTTAATAAATTTTGATTTTTTTTATTCAAATAAGGAGAAAAATGATATAATGCTAGCTATTACAGTCATAATAATAGCTAAATATAGCAACAATCTCAGACACTTATTAGCTGTGTGACCTTGAGCAAGTCACTTAACCCTGTTTGCCTCAGTTTCCTCATCTGTAAAGTGAGCTGGAGGAAGAAATGGCATACTACAGTATCTTTGCCAACAAAACCCCAAATGGGGTCACAAAGATTCAGACGCAACTAAACAACAATGACAATACATTTATAACACTGCATATACATTTTAAAAAACCCTAGCAACATGTAAATTCAACATGTAATTCAATAGTGAACTACATCTAGCTGAAAGGCTAGCCATTTCTCCCACAGTATCACAATTTAGTTAATTGGCAGATTGACTTCTGTACTGATTCTTTTGTGACCTGTTGACCTTTCTACATCTGTACCTAAGGTGGTTGCTATTAGAGGCTCACTACTAGTATTTCTAAGCTCTGGCTTATCTGTTCAGTGAACTCTAGAGCAGAGATTCTAAGCTCCATTTCTAGGTTCCATTTTTCCCACCTCTCTGTACAAGAATCCTTCTCAGTCCTAGGCAGAATTACTTATTTTCTCTATTCTGTGTCTGCTTTAAGCTGAACCTTTTTCAGGAGCTCCCGTGCTGAGTGGAATGGAAGCTATGCCTTATCATTCTTATACTACGGTTTTAAAATAACAGTTTTCTTTGGAACAATCTTTGTTTAATGTTTCTTTTGTATCAAGCTGTGGATATCAGCTACATCTAACTGTTTCTGTGTATCTAAAATAGGAAAATCGTGATTTATTGTATATTCACAGGCACAGTATCTGGCATATAATAGGTGCTTAATAAATGTTTATTGAATGATTATTGATGGAGTGATTCAGGATCTCTATCCTGCTTTCAGGATTTTCCTTCAGTTAAGGTGCTTCATGTTTCTGCCTTTCTATATGGCTCTCAAAGCTTATCCATAGTCTCTGAACAACAGCATTTTTTGGCAAAATTTTGTCATCTTGCTTCAGATTTCTGATAACGATCTCAAATGTCATACCATTGTTTGTT